CCCTGTCTTTAGAATTAGATAAAATGGGGGAAATTATTTTAACAGTGAAGGATGGAGTCTGCCAGGGATTAAGAAGGAGAATGGCAAAGAAAAGCACACAAACAAAAAGAGAATGACAGTAAGGATGACTGAGGGCAGATGGGACCTGAGGAGGGCTGTGGGACGTCAGCAGCCCCGACTGAATATATGGAATGCTGAATATACAGCGTAATAACTCAGAGACGAGCTATTGACCCAAACAAAACAGCAGAATACAGCGTGTGCTGAGAGCAAGGAAACACTGGTGTCCTATACTGAAATATACCAGGTATGTTCTGCACAAATAAGATGTGTGCGTCTACCTGTGGGGGCTCTTTGCCACGAGACGGGGAGGCGGCGCTGCTGGAGGAGGCCAGGGAGGTGGGGCTGGCCTGAGGGGGGCCTTCCTTACGGGACGGGGGCATCTTGTCCAGGCCGTTCTCCCTGGATGAGTAGGACTGCACACTGCGGGGGGATGACGGGTCCTGAATTCAAAACACATAAAACTTCATTACACAAAAGAGTAATAAAGAAATGTTGATTTATTTGTTCATTCCACCTACAATTCAATTAAATATTGGCCCAATATTGTTTTTTTTTCTCATGTTGATTAACTTGTTCAATCATACTGACTTAGAGGACAGATTCACAATTTTTCAAGTCAGCCCATTTAAATATTAAAGTATATTTTGCTTGCTGTAATGACGACCACCGTTTATAATGACCTTTAAGAAATCACTTCCTAACGTTCCTCCAATACAAGACGAAATCAACAGTCCTTGTTCTTTATTCCAAAGTTTATTTATTTAAGTTAATTTGATGATTCACATTATAAACAAATCATGTGGGTATTTTCCAAAGTTGCAGACTTCTTAGTATGAAATTCCTGTTTTATGTTATAAAAAAAAAGAAATAGTTTCATACTCATATTAGCTTTCTGTAATTCTTTTTCACAAAACAAGGACTGTGATTTTGTCCTCCATCACTGACACTAAAAGCATGTTAATGACCAGTATGTATATGAGGAATGACTTGCAAACTATTGTCCTTTTATTGATTTCAAACTAACTGCAATGCACATAAAAGAAGTCACTTCCTGGCACCAGAAAAATAAGACCTACCCAACACTGCAAAGTAAAAGCTTTCAGGAACAACCTTGGTTTTATCTTACACACAGATACACATGTATTCATTTAGATTTCAAAAGATGATCATTTAAAGAATGTATAGATGTTGCTGATTAGTTGCTTTGCTTTTTAAAATCTACATTAACAAAATATTTTCCAACATCTTACAACCTTGCCATCCATTCTTCCACACTCACAAACTTATATAACCTCAACAGTCATACCTGTAGGTGTAGAGAGCAAGTGTGTGTATGCATACGGACTTTGTGGCATGCGTTGTGAAATAAGGGCAAGCAAAGGTGGGTTAGGGGGTTTATTATTGTTATTATCTTTATTCAGATGGTCCTGCTGGGTGTGTTTACATGATGTATGCAGATGAAAGCGGTGAACAGAGGCCAACAGAGGCCGACGGCCGCCTACTAACCTCATCCACAACCAAATTATCATCGCTCTTATCCGCATCGCTGCCCTGTGAGAGAAGAGAAAGTGAGATTAGATATTGCTGCTCTGCTGTCTGATGTATGTAGATTACATGTAGAAATATACAACACGCACACACAAATAGGTGTGTTTGAAAGAGTCTTATTAAAAAAAAAGAAATGCACTCTCTCGAGAGCTATAGTTTGTTACACAGTAAATAGAGGAAAATGAAATATCTTATCTTGACATTTTATTGCCTGAGATGAGATGGCTTAAAGTAAATGCAATGGACAGTACAAACGCAATTAATTCTAGATGTTTAACTTGGAGAGGTTAAATCCTCTAAGACGCTGCTGTTTTTAATATTGCAGGTTTTCTCAAACAAAGCGATAATGCAGAACTGCCCAATATTAATTTATCTCGCACTAAAAATAATCCTTTACAATGCTTAATATATCTGCTTTTCCACAATATTACAGTGATGAGATCAGGGAGTGTGAATATTTCAATTACGGTCTTAAAAAGAGCACAGGTCTTCACAGTCTACTGGTCTTATCGGACGAGAGCTGGCAGAGTTGGGTGAAACTTTCCTTCAGTTACTTAAACATTTAACAGTGTTATGAAAGTGCCTCACATAGTCTGTCATGAACTCCTTCTCATCAGCTTTCCTCTTCTTGCCGTTGCTGAGGTAGTCTGCTGGGCGACCCTTATCCCCATTGGACAGAGAGCTCTGCAGAGAGGAGGAGGAGAAGGAGGAAGGAAGGAGAGAGGAGTGAAGAAAAAGGGAGTGAGGGCAGAGAGGACGGAAGAGGGTGATAATGAGGTGAGAGGGACTGCATAAATCATGTCAGGCTCATAAGCTGCAGAGATGAATGTGAAAAAATATCAGCCGGCATTGATCGGCCAGCTCACTGTAGGAGTGAGAGGAAGAAAGAGAATGCTTCAAGTTTTCTTTAAGGGAGCAGAGAAGACTGTGGGGCTGCCTGAGTGTGCTTTGGCACTGATGCAGTTTTTTCTAATCCAGAATTATTTTATAGTAGTGGTGATATAGTGATGAGATCTTAAGTGTCATGAAGGGTCCAGCATCAGTGACTGCAGTCCTGCAGTATAAAAGCCAAAGAAAGCAAAATTCAAGCCAATAAGTTGTTGTTTTTATGCTTTTATGCTAATTTCATATCCAGAGAAAATAATCAAAGTGGCAAAGACCTATTATCGAAAGTGCATTATGGCCAATATCCAAATCGCAGAAGCTGCAATTTAAAAAAAAGGTAATCTGTGTGATAAAACAGCGTTACTGTAGTGCTGCAGAGATGCCCTGGCCTACAAAAAGTTGAATCTTAAAAATTAGTCAGAATGTGTTTCGTGTACATATATGTCTTATATCCACATTAAAGAACTTATTACTTGGACTTGTCCATAGTTTTCACAGCTGTACACTGAAATTTGCCTATAACATCAAACGGGTGGAGGAGTGTAAGTGTACTTGATATAAGTGTGAACAATTTGTACTCACTGGTCCTGCTTCACGGTCTGCTCAATCCAGGCAGAAGCACCAAACACATCCAGGTGTCAGCCCACAGGACAGTAGGAAATGCAGACAAGGACACACACACACACACACACACACACACACACACACACACAAATGTAAGATTATCTGCCATCACTTTAAATCAGTGTACATCTGATGACTCAGTGGAAAAAAATCCCTGAGGAGTGTTATTATCAGCAACACTCCTGTGCCCTGCCAAAAATCCAAAGGAAAGCCAATCATCAGAATCCATCGAGCCAAACTTCGCTGTTTACTTTACTCCCACCTCAGCGAGACGTTTTCATCTCTAAGAATGCAATCCAACTCTCGCCCCAGCCCTAAACTCATCTAGAGTTTTACACCTTTTGCTTTGAGAAACACAAACTAAAAGAAAACTAAGTAAACAAGCATCATTTAAAGTATTTCTGTACCTCTGTGGTGTTCTGCGGCAGCGGCGGCAGCGGCTGCTGCCTCTAGGTGTGCTCTCTCATCCTTGGCAGCCAGCTGGGCCCCGAGAGCCCCGGACAGGGCCAGCAGGCCGGAACCTCCGCCGAGCGCCAAGCCGGGGTGGGGCAGTCCTGATGGGTGTGGGCCCATTGGCAAACCCTGGGCATGCTGGGAGAGGTGCTGGGCCTGGAGCTGTTGCTGTAGAGAGGAAAAGCAGAACAAGAACAGAGAGAGGAGACAAAAGAGAGATTTGGGTGACTTACAAGCACTGAAAGAAGTGGCTCACCAGGAAGTGACAAAGACGAAGAAAGGTGGAAGGAAAGATAGGGAACTAAGTGCTGCGATGTGCACGAGAGGAGAATGCTGAGGTCAAGGCAGTGGCTCTTGGGGAGGGAAAGTTCTGCAGCGTGATGAGAGATAAAGTGAAAAATATCTCAAACTGAAATATTATTTAGAACCTATTTTACATCTTAATGGGCCAATATTTGGTTGATGCTGTTCAGGTACCTTGTTGCTTATCACCTGTACCTGATAAGGCCACTTGAATGGGGGAAAAAAATTACAAAGAAATCTGCATATTTTAGAGTTGGCCAATGGGTGTTTGCCTCCATAAAAGAAAAAGAAAGGTGGGAATATAAATAAATGGGAGGATAAGGTACACACGCTATGAGGCAGAGGGGGGAGCCCACGTACCCCTATCGAAGCATTTAGCTCCCCCATGGTCACCTGTTTGGCGCGCTCCATAGCCTGGACCACCTGTTGCTGGTGCTGTGGAACAAACCAAAAGGTCAGTGAAGGTAGGTGGATTCAAAATTAAACACTTGACTTAAAATTCAAATGTTCTTTTTTCCCTCTGTAAAATAAATTAACATTTCATAATTTGTATGAAAAAGTATTCAGACTCTAGCTTTGGGAATCACGGGAATTCATGCAACCATTTGGCAATTGAGGAATGTGCTTTGAAGTTCTGTCCGTCTGCAGCTCTTCGCATGTGTGTGAGTTATTGGCTATTGTGTGAATGCATGTGCACGCCTTCTGTGTGGGCTGCTGTCAGACGAAAGAGAGGGCTGGGTGCAGGACAGTGTGTGTGTGTGTGTGTGTGTTGTGTGTGTGTTTGTGCGTGTGTGGTTGTGCTTGTTCGTTTGTTCTGTTTTTGTGCGTGTGGTTTGTGTCACTCCTGTGCAGGAATGGGAGAGCTTGAGCACAGATCACGTTCAAGAGCCGCTTGCAATCTCGGTCTGAAAGAAGGGAACAAAAAAAAAAAAAAATACTGTCGCTGTTATGAATAAACACACACACAAACACTCGCACAGCCCAAGATTTGAGCTCGAACAAAGAAAGCACACACAACCACAGAACACACACACACACACACACACAACCAGACACCAGACATCAGACACAGACACACACAGAACACCAACACAGACACACACAGACACACACACAACACCACAAACACAGACACACACACAGACACACACACCCACACCACAGACACACACCAGACAACACACAGACACAACACACGACAGTTGCCTTGCTTCTCCCAGGCCAGTGTGGTAAATATTTCAGCTGCTTACATTGGTCCATGCAAAGAAAACCTCTGCCAGAGTTTGGCTAAAATATTCATGAACATCTTGCTGTGCCTCCCAGCCAGCCCACACAGAGTGTGGTGAGAAGCGTGTGTTTGTTTATGCGTGCGTGTGTGTGTGTGTGAGAGAGATGCAAAGATTCACCATCTTTTATCAGTGTGTATGCTGTTGTTTTGTATATTGTGTGGCCTGTGTCGCATTTTTCATGCTTGATTGTGTGTATGTTTCCTGCTGGGGTCAGTGATCTGCTGTGGTGTGTGTCTGTCCCTCGATCTCTCTACTACACAGCCCAGTAGCAAACTCAACTCTCTCTCCTCTCAATCGTTCCCTCCCTTCCCTCCTACCTCCTCTCCCTCCCTCCCTCCTCGCCCATAGGTTCCTCTTTCCATCCTTTCTTTCCATCAAACTTACCCATTTATGCTCTTCCATCCATGCCCTCACTCCATTTCTCTCTTTCCCAGTATTAAGTGCAGTTATCAGTGTTATAGACGCTGTCATGTGATGTCTAACAACGCACACACACACACACAAACATGTTCAGACCGAGCCCAACAAGGCCGTTAGTGGCAAGCATGATATGCATGCAAGATAATGACAACATCATTATGCCGCAGGCTGTTTGTCCTTGTTGACAGCTAGACTCAGCTGTGTGTGTGTTGAAATGCGTGTGCGCTTGTGTGTTACATCATACAAACACTACACTCTCCCCACCCCATTCTCTCCTCTAAAGTGAATTTATTGATTCCGGACTGGAACTTCCACCTCCCTCCTTTTTCTCCGCTCTCCTCCTCTCCCATGCTCCCTCTCTCCATTCCTCTCTCTTGCCCACATCTCTCCTCTCCTCCCCTCTTCATTTTTCAGCAAGCACCCCCCTCCTCTTTTCTCTTCATCCTCTGAATCCAATCACCCCCCACCCCACAGGAGACAACAATGATGTTTCTTGTTAGATAAAACTCCAACTACTAAATGACATCTTCAGAGAGAGAGAGAGAAAGGGAGAAGGGACAGTACATGAGAATGAGAAAGAGAAAAGAGGGAGACAAATGGGAAAGGAAATGAAAAGAGGAGGCAGGAAGGGAGAAGAGTAGAGGAGGAGAAAACAGGGAAGATTGGGTTGAGAAATGACAGCCAATGAACGAAGGAATGTGGAGGAAAGAGGAAATAGACGAGAGAGAAGAAACAGAAGGAAGCGGGAAGGAAAATCGACTGGGGGTGGGGGTAGCGGCGGCCCCACGACAAAAACGAGCGATTGGAATGGTAAATGAACGGGTTAGAGAGAGAGAAATGGAGAATAGACGGCAGGAGGCTAATGACCCTGATTCTAAAGTGGAAATGTCAAGCATGACTGTATGTTGCAAGGAGACAGAGGTGGAGGGAGGTGTGCAAAGAGAAAAAAAAGAGATGAAGAGAGATGAAAGAGAAATCAATGGAAAGGAAGGAATCCAGAGAACAGGGATGGTGAAGGAAATGGACAGATTAAGAGAGGGAGCATTAAAAAGATCAAAGTAAAGACTGAAGGGAGAAAAAAAGGGATGGGGGCGGAGAACGGGGCAGGATGTGGGGGGTTGGGTGGAGGGACACAGAGGCAGTAAGACAGGGATTTATGACGGTGACGAGGGGAAATGTTCCTGGAGGCTCGGGAAGGGCAAAGTATTCTCATCTGTCTGTCTTGGTGGAGAAATGAATGTCGTTTGGGATCCTATTAACGCCTCCACGAATCATAACGGTGCTATATAGGTCCCATCCAGAGACAGCATTGAAATGTATCAAGTGGAGTAGAGAGACGGGGGGGGAGTACACACACCACACACACCACACACACACACACAGAGAGACGAGACAGAGACGAGAGACAGAGAGATAGCGCCATCACCTGTTTTGTAGCATTTTCATGTTTAAGGCAGTAGGACATCGTCGTAATAACTGGAAAGACACAGAACCACTCAAGTTATTTTGAATATTTACATGACTGACTAAGACAAGAATAAGATTACTGACAATGCACAACCTTCATGTGTGGGGGGAGTGCGCATAAAGCATTTTATTCATAATGATAATGAATGGTTTCCCATAAAATATAACGAATAAGGATATCAAGTTCAAAAGAAGAAAATAATAACCAAACAGTCAATTAGTAACCCAAACGTAAACATAAAATTATGACAAACTTATGCAAACACTCGTCTTCTAAATTACATTTAAAGTTAGATCCAGACACAAGTGTGAAAGTACAAAGGTAATAACTAGAACACAAAAAAACTTTTGTTCGGTGATATTTTTTTATTTCTTATTGGCAACAAATTTCACAACAAAGCTTGCAACCAACAATGAATTTAGTCCTAAGTCAAGCCCACGTACAAAATGCTGAAAATACTCACTGGTGCCAAGCAAACCTGTTAATCACAAGTTTAAAAATAGTTCCCCAAAATAAATTGTTAATAATAGAACTTTGAGAAAGGAAAAGTGACAGATTATTGACTAAACATTTAATTTCCGTATTGAATTATGTGTTTGTCGGTCGTCTTCTGTCTGTCTGTCTGTCCTGTCTGTCTGTCCTGTCTGTGCAATCATCATTCCTACACAAATAAATTCAACAGTGTGACCCTGAACCACTCACATTCCTTATCCTCCCCAGCTTCAGAGATGCAGCTCTTTAGTGCACTCCCTAAATGCCCATAGGTCCCTAAAAGCATATTGCCACTAATTCAAACCTTGACTCTGCTGAAAGTCAATGGGCAACTAAATTAGCCCTGAGCGTGTTTCAGTGAGGCAGAAACCGGAAAGCGAGCAGGAATCTGCGCCGGCAGGAGAAGGTACAGACTATGCAATAATCATGTCAATGTGAGCTATTTGACCCCTGGCTTTTACCCAAAAGTACAAGGAGATGTGATACGCAGAAGGCGATGAAGAGCACACAAACACACACACACACACAGGTCGCATTCTAGCACTGTTGGGAGTTGAATTCTGCCGGAGAGGGCAATTCCATCTGTAATAAACCTCTATAGGGGTGGTGGCGGGGGTTTAATCCTCACTACCCCCTCCACCCACCACCCTCTCCACTCGTTTCGTCCTGCTTCGTCTCCCTCTCTCCCTCGTCCCTCTTCTCCTTCAACTGGCTGGCAAATGATATAATGAGTCAATTATGGTGTGTTGTGTGCACACGGTGCTGGGGAGAAAGGGGATGCGGGATGGCGGCCGTTCATTACCTGTTGCAGCTGGGGGTTAATGGTTGCGGGTATTAATCATATTCTAATCTTTCCCTCCACCAAACGACCCCCCCACCTACCTCACCACACCACACCACACCACACGCAGCAACCCCCACCCGCCCCCCTCTATCTGCACCCGCAAAGGAAGTCGGCCATAAACTGCCGAAGGCCCAAAATATATACCTTTCTGGGAGGGAGGAGGGGAGATGGCGGTGAGTTGAGACAAGGGGAGGTGTTTGTGTGGGTCTGGACCCTGAGCATACAAAACGTTTAGAAAT